AGAGTCTTTCCATTATATCGAGAGAATAAAGATTACACATCCCTAAAGATCCGTCATTCCTATCCCTAAAGATCAGATATTCTATCTCTACAAATCTGCTATTCAATCCCTCTAAATCTGCTTTGCTATCCCTCCAAATCAGCTATTCAATCGCAATATTTATTCCTTTGATTCTACAACAAATCTATATGATCATGCTAATTTATACCACTATATAATTACATTAATATATACAATTGTTTAGATGTCCATCATGCTAACAGCCTAGCCTTACTGTTCATTCGAAAAGGTTTTGGGAGCTCTTGGTTCGAGTTGGTAATTTTGTCAAGTGGAGGAGGTGAAGTCGATCTCTTCATGCTCGTCGGCCTAGTTCGCTGCACCACAAGAGGTAATTCTTACCTTCATTTACGTACGTTTTGCTTGTATGTTCCTTGATTAAGTTTTTATTTTGTTCACTGGGTTGCTTATTTATTTTTAAGACTAGTAACTGATCTGTTTAATGTGACTTTATTCTGGTTTTCGTATAGAAAGAGAGGTATATTTTCAGTGTTTTAAATCATTTTTCGAAATAAGTTTTTATTATGATTTAATACTTGTGTTTGCTATTGTAAAGATGTGTTTGGAAAGGATGGACTCCTCAAATGATCATCCTGATAGCAATTATTTGCTTGCTTATGATGGTTTTCTATCCAAGGTATATTTATTTTATTTAGTGCTGCAACTGTGTAGTGCCCCTAATGTGTTCCCTGTTAATATGTAATTCACATTATATTTCTTATCTTTAACACATTTTGTGCACTCTCTGTTCAATAGATCAAAAAGTGCCATGATCCACTTTTTGGCAGTTTATTCCTCACTTGTTTCAGTGAGGATCAGGAACTCGGTAATAAAACTGCAGTTTATTCTCCTATTATATTTTATCTACAAGTTAGGCATGTGTACAGATTGTTTGCATCAGTAACAGATTGATACCGAATGCAAAGGAAAAATATATGGTGACATTCATTTTGCAGCTGCTATATTCAGGATGGAGCCGGTAATACGTGTGGGGCTTCTGCTATATTCATGAGTTTATTTTATATAGAGGAACATCAAACTCGGTATCAGAATAGTATGTAAAGAAGCTAAGGTTGATTGTTTAGGTAGTAAAAGAAGCATTTTTTAGAACAGTGGAAGAAGCAATGGGAAAGAAAGCCTATGACCAATTAGCTGTTTCTACTTCAGAGTGTTTGTCAAACATATGAAAACTGGTTTCTGCATCAAAGCTTTGCACATGTGATTACTATCTAAATTGTTATCGAATTAATATAATCTAATTTAACTTTGAAAATGAATCAAACTGATTTTCGAAAAGCGCAACATGACAATTAAAAGTGGACAGAGGGAGTACAAGCAAATATTAGTACATGCATAACAATAACAGAGAAGATGGTGCAGCTGCTCTGATCCTTCAAAGCGTTTCATGTCCATTGGCATTTGTTTTTGGAACCCACTCTAGATTACATGGATGGGAAAAAGTTATAAAATCAGATAGAGAAAAGCAGTCGAAAAGATAATCTTATTCATTCAGAACCCAAACTTTAAATTCAATAGATAAGTACAACCTACAACTAAATTTAAGGAAACTAACTATAATCTGTACTCTTACCGTAACTAACAATTACAGTAACTAATGCTTAATACACCCCCTCAAGTTAGGTGTAGTGCAACAATGCCTAACTTGGAATGACATCGTTCAAAGGCTGGTTTTGGCAAGGACTTGGTAAATGTATCAGCAAGTTGATCACAAGCGTTACAAGAACCTGATGCGCTTGAACTTGGTTCCTAGCATAACAGAAGTCGACATCAATATGTTTCATACGGCAATGAAACACTGGATTATGGTAGAGATAAGTGACACCAACATTGTCACAAAAGATTGTGGGTGTATTTAGAATGGTGATACGCAATTCATTAAGCAAGTTGTGCACCCATATGAGTTCGGTAAGTGCATTTGCAACTGATTTGTACTCTGCTTCAGTGGATGAGCGAGCTACAACTTGTTGCTTTTTGGATGACCAACTCACTGGATTGGGCCCAAAGAAAAGAACATAACCTGATGTGGATATTCTGTCATTCGGGTCTCCGGCCCAATCGGCATCAGAGTACATGTAAAGATTGTTGTCTGAGTTGCAAAGAACTCGAAGACCTGAAGTTGTTGTGGCTTTAAGATACCGTAGTAGTATCCTCTTAACCGCCTTCCAGTGTTCATGGTAGGTTCATGCATAAACTGTGATAGTTTGTTGACAGCATAAGAAATATCAGGCCGTGTGAATGATAAATCTTGTAACTTACCAAGGGTGCGCCTGTGTAGAGTGTAGCATGAGCAGGCGGAGAACCATCAGCTGCCCAAGGTAGTTTACCGGAGCACATTGGAGTCAAGAGTACTTTACAATCTTGCATATCCAATTCAGACAAAATATCATGAATGTATTTGGATTGAGAGAGAATAAGACCATCTGACATTTTTTTTAACTTCGACACCCAAAGAGTAGTCTAAGTAACCAAGATCCTTCAAAGAAAACCGACTTTTATTCCATTTTGTTAAACAAAACCTAAGTAGTGTCAACTGTCAAGGAAAAAATGGATAAATTCCTTTTCTTATTTTCCTCCATTTAATCTGTTTTCACATTAATCTTTTTGCTACTTATTTTCCTCCTCCTTATTAATCTGTTTTCACATTTTGAATATATTATATTTTGGAATTAAAAGAAAACAAAAATAAAAATAATAAAATAGATTTTTTAAAAAAAAAAAAGTGAAATCACACATGACAGTCTGTGTAGTAGTGAGTGTCACGTTTGATTTTCTTCAAAAGAAAACATAAATATTTCTTCCATTTTGTGCTAATTAGAAAATTGATAGTAACATTTATTCTTTCTATTATGACTTTTATCTCGTTTTGTGAAACACAACCCAATTAGTGTCTTTCTTTCTTTTTACATTAATCCGTTTGTTACTTTTTTTCCTCCTCCGTATGAATCTGTTTTCACATTTTGGAAATTACAGTCTATACTTTTCAACATTTTATTTGTTTTGGTGCTAGATATATATAGTGGAGTAACTTTGATCATTGGAAATACAACACACACAAATTAATTTCCTTGAAACATTATATATCATATGGAGAAGCACATTTTCTTATTAATTCTTCTCTTTCTAATCCAATTTTCTATATCACTTGCTTCCTCTAATGAGACTGACCAACAAGCTCTATTAGCTTTCCAAAATCTTATTATTACAAGTCCCACTCATTTTTTGGCCAATAATTGGACCAAAAATACGCAAAGGGTTGTGGCCTTGACTCTTCCTAATTTGCAACTTCAAGGCACAATTTCCCCATCTTTGGCCAATTTGTCCTTCCTCAGTGTTGTCAATCTCGAGAACAACAGCTTCCACGGTGGCATCCCTTATGGACTTGGCCACATGCCTCGCTTGCGAGTTATTGACGTTAAAAACAATCAGCTCAACGGGAGTATACCAACAAGTCTATTTCAAAACAGGAGAGTTCGAGTAATTTCATTGGCTTTCAATGAACTTAGTGGTGAAATGTGGAGAGGGCCATGGTATGTACCCGAACTCAGAGTCTTAAATCTCGGGAACAATAGCCTCACGGGTATAATCCCTCCTTCTGTTGGAAATGCCACGAAGTTACTGAACTTCAGTTTGTATGGGAGTACAGTCGGTGGCAACATTCCAAAGGAGGTCGGTAATCTGAGCCAACTTGTAGAGTTGAACCTGGCCGATAATCAATTAACAGGTTCCATTCCCGCAGCACTGTTTAATATCTCATCGCTACATTCTTTATCTCTGGCAATCAATAGCCTTTCCGGTCATCTCTTGCTTGGTGAAGGGAACATTGTCTCAAATATGAACGTTTTAAGTATATTTCTCAATCAAATTTCTGGTTGCATTCCTCCCAACTTATGCCAACTCACAGAGCTCAAAGTTTCGTCCATATCTTTCAACAATATAACTGGAGACATACCCAGAAATATTGGTTGTTTATCCAAACTCGAGCAGTTTCTTATTGGTGATAATCCAATAAAACGGACTATTCCCTCTTCATTGGGAAATATTTCACTTTGCATAATCTTTACTGTGGAAACAATCGCATAGTGGGGGGAATTCCTCCGGAATTAGGGAAGCTTTCAAATTTGAGGCAATTAACCTTTGACAATAATTCTAATCTTATTGGTCAAATTCCAGAGGCTATTTTAAACATATCTTCTTTGGAAGTGATTTCTTTCCATTACAACAACCTCTCGGGGAGAATTCCAACCACTACAGGTCTTCATCTTCCAAACCTTGAAGGACTTTACTTGGGACACAATCAGCTGGAAGGGGGAATTCCATTGTTCATAACAAATGCTTCCAAGCTTGAAATATTGGAGCTAAATAATAACTTTCTGACAGGAACTATTCCTACTAATTTAGGAAATCTTCATGAGCTGCGATCACTGCCCCTACATACTAATCAACTTACCAATGAACCAAGAGAGTGTGAGTTGTTATTCTTAAATTCTTTGATGGACTGTATGATGTTGAAATATCTACAAGTGGGTTCCAATCCATTGAATGGCGTTCTGCCCAATTCTATTGGGAATCTTTCATCCACTATTCAAAACATTTATATACGAGATGCATACATCAACGGCCTCATCCTCACAAGTATAGGCAACATGAGCGGTCTTACAGCCATAGACATTGAAGGAAACAACTTGGCAGGAAGTATTCCTCCTGATATTGGTTCTAATAAATTTTCATCAAAATTTCTGTTGTGCCTTTGGAAAATGAGTGGTCTTCTCTATCTAGACGTGTCACTGAATTCAATAGAGGGAGAACTTCCATCAGATATTGGAGCACTGAAAGCCATTGTAGAACTACATCTTTCCAGTAACCACTTTTCAGGAATGATACCAAGCAGATTCGGGGAACTCCAAAACCTGCAGTATCTTGACCTGTCGAACAATTCATTTTTTGGAAAAATTCCATTATCCTTTGCCAACTTGATAAGCTTAGAATACTTGGATTTGTCTTCAAATGCGTTGTCAGGTACTATTCCTAAGTCTTTGGAAAAACTCTCATAGCTTAAAAGCATTAATGTTTCATTTAATGATTTAGAAGGTGAAATACCGAGTGGTGGTGTGTTTGCAAATTCAACTCCGCAATTATTTCTCGGGAACAAATGTCTTTGTGGAATGCACATATTGGATATTCCTGCTTGTGATATCACTAATCCTGGAAAACAATTAAAGCTTAAGGAGGTTGTGCTAAAAATTGTTACTCCAGTGGTTATTGCATCCTTTGTGATATTCTTGTTGGTTTCAATTTGGATAATGAAAAGACACAAGAAAGGAAAGTCTAAAGATGTTGAAAAGGTACCGGAGATCGGGACTCATCAATTAGTTTCTTATCACGAGATTCAACGAGCAACAAATAATTTTGATGAATCCAATTTAATTGGTGAGGGAAGCTCTGGCTCTGTGTACAAAGGCACATTGTTTGGTGGAACTGCAGTGGCCATTAAGGTTCTCGATTTGGAAAATGAGAAAGTATGCAAGAGGTTTGATACCAAATGCGAAGTGATGAGAAATGTTAGACACAGAAATCTTGTTTCAGTGATTATTACATGTTCTAGTGACTATATAAGAGTCTTTGTTCTGCAATTTATGCCCAATGGTAGTTTTGAGAATTGGCTGTACAAAGAAGATTGCCACTTAAACCTTGATCAAAGAGTCACTGTAATGCTTGATGCAGCTATGGCAGTTGAATATCTACATCATGGTCATGTCACTCCAATAGTTCATTGAGACTTAAAGCCAGCCTACGTACTTATGGATGAAGATATTGTTGGGATATACTATTAACCATATGGTTGAGTTATAGTATTGATTTTAATCCTTTATAAAAACTTTACGTTTTCTGTTAATTATTAGGGAAAATGCACAAGTATCCCCTAACTATACTCGAAATTCCAATGATACACTTTAACTATACATGAGACCTATTACCCCCCCTAAATTATTTTAAAGTGTAATAAACGCACTCTTTCGTGCTGAGGTGGCACAAAGAGTGTGTTCACTCTCTTAGAGGCATGTGAGATACGGAAAAAGGTATTAAAATCTGATTATGGACACGTGTTCATTTTTAATTGGACATTTTATAATTAACTAGTAGAGATAGTTAATTAACTTTAAAACTTAAATTGACATTTTTTTAAAATTAAATTTCTTTTTTTCTTTATGAAATAGAGTCAAATTTTATCATTTTTCACAACATATTTAAATTGTCAGAGAATTCTTTTCAGTGTTTTTCATTGATTTGTATAGTATCGAGAGAATATTTTTTTCTTTTTCATTTTTTACTCAAATGAATTACTTGAAATTTGCTAATGAGAAAAAAATTGCATATTAGGAATTTAATTTAGGCAACATATAAAGAGCAAAATTTAAATTAGAGTTTTTTTCAAATATAAAATTATAAATAAATAATTTAATTACCATCCCTTTTCAATTATCCATGTCATACCCCTACCCTTACCCCCAACCCTCACCCCGCCCCGCCCATATCCTCACTCCTGCCCCCCGCTTCAGTTCTCCACAATCTCCATGCCGCTTCAGTTCTCCATCAATAACACCCTCCCTCATTCTCTTCCCTTCTCACTTCAATCAACCTTTATCTTAACCCAAATTCATACAGAAAAAAATGACCACAATTTTGAATTCTTCTCGAATTAGAGTTCAAAATTTAGGTAGTTTCTTCAATGGAGATTGTGGACCATGTTTTACGAAATTTATTTGGATTGAAAGAAAAATAAAATTGATAGTAGATATTGAATTCGGTGGTAGTGAAGGGATACATTTGGTGGTGGGTTATAATTTTCATGGTTATTGCTATGAGTTTTAATGGTTAAAATAAGTGGGTTTAGTGGTTATGGCGTTGGTGTTGATAATGAAGAAGAAGGAATCAAATGACATGAAATTTTATATATTTTTTTTATAGATATGATCATTTATTGACGTGGTGTTGACATAATGATGATTTGGAGGTGAGTGTAAAACACCTCCCATCATGTGAGTGGCTATATAGGTTTTAGGCTGTGTTAATTAAGGGTGTGTTTATTACACTTAAAAATAATTCAGGGGGGTAATAGGACTCATGTATAGTTAAGGTGTTTCGCTGGGATTTCGCATATAGTTGAAGGGGGTACTTGTGCATTTTCCCTAATTATTACAATAAAGTCTTTGTTTGAATGGATCATTGTATTTATATGTGTGTCCATTGCTTATATAGTAGACAATTTTTGGGTATGGAGTTGTTTAACTCATACGTGGAAGATTAAAATTGTCGGTTCTTATAAGTTATAAATTAAATGTTCACAATCAAAGATGAAGTTGGACAAACATCTTGATGATTGTAACACAAGATTAAATATAATTCAATCTTAATTATGGAAATGGTAAAATCCAACTTCTTGTGTTAGTACATTTTGCATGTATTAAACGGACCAAATTGAGATATGTATTTAGGTTCTGAATTTCAATAAATAATATCTCTAGTCTATTACATGAGCTTATACTCTTAATCTTGATGTAGTTATTATGATCTGTTTAGTGTGATTTATTATTTTAATCTATTAAAAGGTGAGACTCTATGATGAGTCAAAAAATTCCTAATGGATTGGATAATAACAAATTACGTTCGTGAAATAATAATTAGTTGATAGAACCATATCTCGGATATGAGAAAGAAGACATCCCTTTATGGTTGCTTATAAGTAGTCACGTAAAAACCCTGCAGGTGGATTATATATGTATATTCGTCACGTGAATTAATTTAAGCATAAAGATGAAGGATTAAATTAATCAATGGAATAAATTTTTCAGATGTTTGATTTAATTGATTGGTGTCGGTAATTCTAACATTGGGAGTTAAATAAGTTGTAACGGTAAAAAACTGAAATTAAATAGAGAAGTGCAGTTATAGATTTCTAGTGGTACAATTTGTGATTTATTATGATATGGTTAATTCATGCTTTTACGAATTAAATATTATAATTGGAAGCCTCTGCTAATAAATTCGCGGTCCCTACTATGCCTAGTTAATTGATCGAGTTCGGAAAAGAAAAGGACTGTTAGTATTTTTTTCAATTTTGGAATAAATTATTTTTGACTTTTATTAGTTTAAAAGAGAAAAAACTTTTTATTTCCTTAAAAGGAAAAAGGAGAAAATATTGTGTTTCTTTGTTTCCTAGAAGATGAAAGAGACAAATAATAGTGTTCAATGGTTATTAGTGGCTATTGATGGTGTTAATGGTTGTTGGATACCCTTGGTGTTTAATGGCTTTCTAAATACACTTAATAGTATTTAGTGGTTGTTGATAACTATTGATCATGGTTGTTGGATACTCTTAACAGTGTCAAGATGCACTTAATAGTATTTAATGGTTGTTGATGACTATTGATCATGGTTGTTGGATACACTTAAAAGTGTCTTAATACACCTAAAGGTATTTAATGACTATTAATGGCTATATATGACTAGAAACATTTCATCTCTCAAACCTTTCCCTTCTACTGAAAAGTATAAATAGGGGTGATGGTTCTCAAGGAAAGATAATCCTTTTTTTCTGAAAATTTTCTTGCCCACACAAGACTTGATTGAGAGAGTTAGTCAGGAATTAGTAGAAGGCTGCAATCCTGGAGTCTCAGTCCCTGAATGGGTTGTGTGAAAGCTACAAAAGGTTAGAGTTTCACAATTTATTTAGTTTACATTATTATGCTATTATGTAAGTTTGTGATTCTGGATAATGCTTCCGCTGCGCATATTCTAACAGATATGGTGGCTCATGTTGGTGATTTTGGAATCTCTAAAATTTTAGCCATAAGCAAGTCCATGGCTTATACCAAGACATTGGGCACTCTTGGATACACTGCACCAGGTATAAAAAATCTAGTCTCTTTGATTTTCTCTTATATCATAATTAAGCCTCTCTAAGGTCTAAAAGTAAAAAAAAGTAAGTCTTCATTTATGCAGATTTATTGTTGTATTTCAATTGAATAACTTTTCTTCATTCCTTTTCTAAAAATATGGCTCGGAGGGAATAGTGTCCACTACTGGTGATGTTTATAGCTATGGCATCATGTTGATGGAGGTTTTGACCAAAAGAAGGCCAACAGATAAAGATATATCAATGCAAATCTTGACTTGAGGAAATGGGTCACTCAATCATTTTCAGGGAGTATGATGGAAGTTGTGGATGTCATTTTTTTTTTCTGAGGATGATGAAATCACCTGTAAAAGTGATATTTGCATAGCCTCCATGATAGAATTGGCTTTAGACTGCACAAAGGAAACGCCAAAATCAAGAGTGGCCATGAAAGAAGTAGTGAAGAGGCTTAACAAAATCAAGAACGCATTTCTGGAAACATAGAAGTGATCATCATCTGTTCGGATGGTGTTCTTTTCTGAGCTGCAAATTAATATGATGCTTTTTGTTTCTTTAAGGGATAAGACGCAAGTACCTCCTAGACTATGACCGAAATCTCAGAGACACACCTAAACTTAACTAGGTGTTGTGTGTCTCTGGGATTTCGGTCATAGTCTAGGGGGGTACTTATACCTTATCCCTTTCTTTAATAAAGTTGTGGTATAGTACTACTTGAAGTCATGTATTGTTTGTAATTTCATTTGAGTGGTTTTGGACCTATTTTACTTACTCTATAAGTGAAAACTCTTATAAAGTTAAATAAATATTATTTTAAAATGTAATACCAACTTAACCTCAGTGAATCCATCTTACTATTTTCTTTCTTTAAAAACAAGGGTGAAATTATAACTTTATAATATTAGATCGATATTGTGCATAACTTTTAAACAATGAACCAAACCTTCCAAATATAATTTATAAAAAAGCCCAAAAAATGTCGAATCAAATGAATTTGATTCATTAATATTAGGTAATCAAACTTAATCATTGTAGGACAATGTAGAAGTCATACTTGATATTTCTAACCTTATGAATTCATCAGCCTCAAAATTCTTTTCGGTGTTT